TGGGGAGCACTTACAACAGTGCCTCCTAAAAGACACTCCCTGAACATAAGTGCCATTATGATAAGAATGCCAGAGTAACAATGTTTCTGTAGCAGGACTTCTGACCCTGGCACAAGTGACATTTGGGGTCAGATACTCTTTGATGTGGGGGACTATCCTGCGCATAGCAGGAGGTCTGGCAGCGTCCTTGGCTCCTACCCACTAGAATGCCAGTGGTACCTTCCCCAGTTGTGAAAATTAAAGACGTCTCTAAACCTCTCAACGGCCCTGGGGACTGAATACCACTGTTTTACAGGAAAACACCCAAGAGTCCCAGCTGGAATATTGGGGTCCTCTCCTGGAAGCAGCCCAGCTGGTGAGGCAGCAACCCTCTCTTCCCCTCACCTGCTCAGGTATGCCCCTCCATGCCGGGACTCCTGCAAACCACCAGCAGAAGCAGCGAGGCTGGTAAGTTAGAGAAGCTATTAACTAGGTGGATATTTCTGGGGATATGGAGGAATGGAGGGGCACTTTTTAAAGTGGGATAATGAAAAAGGCAGGATGGGAGGAAGGGGAAGGGGCAGAGAGACAAATGGGGTTTCCCACATCCATCCTTCTGACTTCCGGTGCCAGAAGGGCCTACAGTCCCAGAGATGGCAGAGATCAGTTCTGATCTGTTTTCCCCCGGGGCTATTGTGTGCTTTCTTCCCATCCTCTCTCCTGCACTCTTCTGGCCAACCAGGGTGGGGTGAGCAGCGGGGACCAGGCTCTGGGGCCAGGGAGCGCTGTACTGGGAAGGGAGAAGGCTCAGAAGCAGAGTAGGAAGGGTGTGGAGGTGCACCAAGGAGCACAGACTGCTTTCTGGGTGCCACTTGGATACTGAGCAGGGGACAAACTGGACTAGATTTGCCCCCAAACCTTATTGATGCCATGACCTTGAATATAGCCCCCCTCTTCTAGTTTTCTCTTTACCACCTTTTTGACCTGCATTTTCCCATTTTACCCAATTACTTGTTAAATGGGTATGGACCAAACACCTATTCTAGGTCTAGCACTGTATTAAGCCCCCGACGGTGTTTTGACTTGTTTTTGAGTGATTCTTTTTCAAGGTGGGCATAGGGAGGATACTATCTAGTTGGAAAACTATCAGGTGTTTAACTAGAAAACTAATATATGTTCACACACAGCTGTGGAGCCACTCAAACCATATTCATATACATAAATGCTGAGGGAAGTTGTAATAAAACACAACTTTTTCAATTTTTCGACAAATGGGTTCATGAACTGATGTTAAAAGGGCAGAAAGAAAATTCAGCCTAAACAAAGGGCACCATGATCTCTCACTGTATCTCCAGGCTGGCGCTGCCTCCAAGGGCAGGTGGGTCAAAGCACCCGTCCAATGGAAGGGGCTCTTTCCCCAGTCAGAATAAATCTGACCCTTTCTCAGTCAAACTGTTTCTAAGTTTTCTTCTTGCAATTTGTGGGAATAATCCATTCCTTTTGTTCCTGTCAGGGATGCTGAGCCTGATACCTGAAACCAGTTCCAAGCCACGCCCTTCCACCACAGACAGGTGGCGGAGGAGGCCCAGAGGAGGCCCGTGTGGGGCGGGCACATACAGACAAGGGCTGTCACTTCTCCAAAAACCAGCAGAGCCAACAAAACTCTCCCACAACTATCCAAAGGCAACCCCAAGAGCTAAGCCAGATTACTGCAGTAAACAAATCTAGCAAACCTAAGCAGCACCATAAATTGCAAAATAATACTTCATTTATTTAGGTAGGAAAGTCATTTCTCTTTGACCTGCTGTAGGACAGGTCAATGGTAGCGATCAAAAACCCATCCTGCGGAGCCTGAGCACACACACGAGGTGGCCTGGAGAGCCAGGCCCCCGCAGTCACTGTCCCAGGTTCCAGCATCCATCCCAACTCAGCCCAGCTGGAGACCCCGCCTGGAGGTTCCTGGGTGCCAGAGGCCAAATGGGATGTTCCGGGACTTATATGAGCTCCCGCCTGATGGGGGGGTCGGGGACAGGAATCGACAGCCCACGGATCTGTGCCCGGACCTTTCCCTTAGGAGCATGGGCTCAAATGCTGTATCCCTCGAGATCCCAGGAGGGGGAGGGGGGAAGCCGGTTACTTCAAGCACGAGGAGAGCCAGGGATGGTGTTTCCGGATCCAAGTACGAAGATCCATTCCCTGGCGCCCGGGATTCCTCCTTGAACAGCTCCCAGGCCTTGCCGAAGAAAGCCCCACCAAAGCGCCAACACATTTCAAAATGGAGCAAAATCGCGGACGTCTCGACTGCGCTTTGTTCCCGGCATTGAGCTAAATGTGCTCGCTCCCGCCATGCTCCCTTTCCTCCAACCGACAGGAGGTGACCTATCCGCCCGCGGTCCCCCCTGGGAGCTGTGGCCGCGGGCTACCGGTTCTCAGGGCCGCTCTGAGACCCTTGCTCTGTCTGGAACCAGAATTCCGCGCCCAGTTCTAGGGTGGAGGAGGTGGAGGTGGGAGAGAGGAGAAGATGCTCGAAGCGATCCTTGAGCCTCTCCTGCACCCCACCCTTGGCGGACTCAACTCTGCAGGAAGGCCCCACACTTCCTGGCTTCGACCTCCGACGCCGCAGCCGGGAAGGTTCGGCCGGGCCTCTGGCGGGCTCTCGACCCCAGCCGGACCAATCCCTGGACATTCAAATCAATCTGGGCGGCTCGCGTGAATGATTGGGCTCTAGGGATGCTCATCTCTCTCGGAACTGCGCCCCCGCATCAGTTTGCAGCGATAGAATTAACCAGAAAACCGCGAGGACCCGGCTCATGGCAGGAGAGCGAAGCTCTGACTCCCTTGCCAGGGGGTCCATAACCCCCTTTCCCGCTCCCTCCCCATTTCAAGGGTGGCAGTGTACTCGGGCTTTTAAGTTAAAATCTTGTACGTTTCCAAAATAATATTCAGCCACAATAATAAAAATACATGAGGGACGCTAATCTGGGTGGCTGAGGCCGCCGGAGGCCAATTAGGAAGAGTCACCAGCTCAGGGTTGTGGGCGGTCTACCCCCAGAAGCCTCGGAAAGACTGAAGGGCCGCGGCCTCGCCTGCCCCTTGGGTTCAAAATCTTGGCTGGGAAGGGGCGGGGCAACGCCTCGAGGTCCGTTCTCGGGACGCGTATGGTTTCCATAGCAACCACCCCTCCGTGCCCCCCCCCCAAGTCATCTCAGAAAAAATGGGTGTGGCCCGAGGCAGAGGAGGAACCCTCTTGCCCCCTCCTTACATTCTCCCGTCTGGCGAAGCAACAGGGCAAGAAGCGGAGAGGGGCTCAGCCTGCGCGCTGTCCCCGCTACCTCCCGGGGGTCGCCGGTGACCCTTAGTGGGCAGCCCGTGGGAGGTGGCCCCCAGGCCTCTCAGGATGGAGGAAGGGGCTTCCTCCTCTCCGGCCACACGCACAGCGCGCAGAGACCTCGAATCCCAGCCCTTCGGCCCGGCGAACTCTTCCTGGCGCGCCGCCCTGCTCCGGGGAAGGGGCCGAGCCGGGCCACGGCCGTTCCATCCATGCCCTCAGGGCTGTGACTGGGGTTCCTTGACCCGAGCCAGCCCGAGATCTAACAAAAGGCTCGAAAATGAGGGGCGGAAAATAGGGGGAGAGGCGGGGGCCTTGGTTAAACACTCTCATAGATAAGAGCCAAAAAACCAGGGCTGGCAACGCAGATCACGTAAGCTCTACAAACAAAGCATCTAGCCCCCGAGAAAGATTAGGGGTGAACGCCCCCAGGGCTCAAGCCCACAGCAGCAAAATACCAAGACTTCAGCGTTGATTATCGTGTCCCCCTCCCCTTAATTACAGTCCCCGCCCTGTCCTCCAAAGCCTAGCCACCCGGCTTGGCAGGGTACAGTAAAGACGTGACACGCCGCAAAAAGATGGCACCTCGCGTTTGGAGGGGGAAAAAAGCAGGGGTGGGAGTGGGAGGAGGCAAGCCTACTCTCCCCCTCCTTTCCCACCCCGATCCACACCCACTGCCGCAGTGAGGGGCGAGCCCTGCGCGCCAGTCCCGCGCCTCCGGCAGGGAGCGCACACGCCGGACGCCAGGCGCAGAGCGCAGAGAAAGGGGCCCGCCCCGAAATGCACCTGCAGCCCCCGCGCGTGCCTGTGGCGGGCTGCGGTTGCGAGCAGGGATCCGCCGCTACCGAGTCCTTCCACACTGCAAGGCCAGGTGACTCCAGCCTTTCGCCTCTCCGAGCCCCCACACCGGGATCCCCGCACTACCTTCTCTCGGGCACGGCGCTGCTCGCGTTTCGGTGCCAGGCGCGCGCAGGGGGAAGGGCAACGAAAGTGACAGCGCCTGGACCCCTCCCCATCTCCTCGATTGCACTCCCAGCCCCCAAACGTCCCCTGCGGGTTTCTGAAGGAGGAAAACGGGGAGGGGGTGGGCCACCGCCTTAAATCAGGGGCAGTGAAAGCCCCACTGGAATTGCTGACAGGGAGGTGTAGGGAGGGGCAGGCAGGGATTCATCTTTTCTAGAACCGGATCCATACCTTCCTGAAGGGCTTATGGCAAACCAAAGAAGAGAAATCAGATTACGGGTTCGGTTTCGGGGGTCGTCACTAGACACCCCCTAATACACACACATACAGACACACGCCCATTGCGGCAAAAGGTGACGAGCAAGAGTGCACAGCAGCCCCCTCCCCCCAGGTCACCGCCATCCGCGCCCCACCCTTCGGGCACAACCTCTGGCCCGGTCCGCGCGAAGCGGGTCTTAAGGACACCCCAGGGCGCGCGCGCGCGCGCGCGCGCACACACACACACACACACACACCAACACATACGCGTGCGTGCATCCCTTGCATGGGTCCCCTTCCAAGCCGCCCTATTCCCAGCCCCGAGCGCACAGGGCGCAGGGAGGGGCCCCAGCCGTTGTCCCCGACCTATGCTTACCTCACGAAACCCATCTCTGCGGCCGGGGACGAGGGGCGGCAGCCTGAGAGTGCAAGGGGGCGGACGGGGAGGCAGATAGAGGAGCCTCGCGCTTACCTGATAGTCGACAGAGGGCGAGGACAGTAGAGGAAAGAGAGAAAGTGGCAGTGGTGGCGGCGGCAGAAGGTGGGCGGCGGCGGCGGCGGCGGCGGCTGCGCTGCTGCTGGTGCGGGAGAGGGTATGTGGCGGAGAGTGCGAGCCCGCGCACCAGCGAGAGGGCGCGTTCCCGAGGCCGGCTGGCGGCGCAGGCGCGAGCAGCGAGAGCGCGAGCCTCCTCAAGGGAGGGGTCAGCAGTGAGGTCTTCGCGGACCTTTTCTCCTCCGGCCACCAGTAGGCGCGCGCGAGCACCCCACCACTCGGCCCTCCCCCGCCTCCTGGCTCGCTCCTTTTGACGCTTCCCTTCTCCTTCCTTCCCTCCCCGGACAACTCGAGCCGCGGGGTCGGCCGTTATGCGCATGCGCGTTCCGTGGCGCACGCGCACTCCGTGTCTCCGCCCTCGCTGGTCTTTGTCTTGTCTAAGGGGTCTCCGCCCTCGGGAGATAGAGTGTACCTTGCGTCCGGGGTTTGGGAAGAGGCTGGTGCACGGTCTCGCAGATCCGCTGCCCCTTTTCCTTCCTGTCCCAGTGATGTCCTATCTCGAAAAGGTGCTGGGCGGGTTTCCACATAGCTCCGCAGTCCGTCCACTCCGGAACTTAAGGCTTTCCCTGGGCTCGCCCTGCTTAACGGCTGGCCAGGCAGCCTGAGCCCTTGAGTTTCCCGAAATGGTCTCCGTTGTTGGAGTTTAGTTTCCCTGGGTCACCTTCCTTTCCACCTGTTTTCTTTCCACCGTTTTTGTTTTTGTTTTTGACCAAGGTGGGTTCTTAGTAAATCCACTTTAAACAGACTCAGTCATAATGCAGTAATACAGGTTTGGGGTGGATTGGTTGGTATTTTATAAGGAGCATTCAGTCTATTACTTACCTAACCGTGACCCAAGAATAAAATGTTAAATTAGATGAAGTTGCCAATACCGCTTATCACGTTGCAAAGTATTTTCATATAATACAGTTATTTTTATTTTGCTTGTTGAAACACCGTTATCCGTAAGTAGAGCTTGGGATCCCAATTTCCAAGTGCCTGTTGGAGATTCTCACCTGGATAGCGCACCTCACTGAAACTGACCAGTGGCTTTCATTCCCCCAGTCACCCGGCCCCAGACTTTGGCTTTACTTGGTCTACCCAACATTTAATTTAAGCCCTGGCAGTGGGGGGCTGTATATGTATGGGGCTTGGGGGGCAGTTATCTTATCCTGGGGGGGATGGGAACTTGTCCTGAAGCTTTAAGGTGCATATTATTTACATTCTCTTAAAAAACAAACAAACAAGCAAACAGGGGCGCCTGGGTGCCTCAGTGGGTTAAAGCCTCTGCCTTCGGCTCAGGTCATGACCCGCGTGGGGGCTCTCTGCTCAGCAGGGAGCCTACTTCCCGTCCTCCCTCTCTGCCTACTTGTGATCTCTGTCTGTCAAATAAATAAATAAAATCTTAAAAAAAAAAACCGATATTGTATGTTACACATTAATACAAAAAGCAGGCTGTTAAAAATGCTTTATTCACACAGGATTAATATGTTATTATTGGGAGTACTCGATGGGTGATGAAGACGGCGGGCTAATTTTTTAAGCCACTGGTTCTGAGTCTCTGGAATTGACCTTTTTATTGTTGTTGCAACGGCCACCATCCTAGTTAAAGACTGCTACCCTGGTTCTGGAAATGTAGTTACTTTACTGGTCACGCTGCTCTCCTTTTCTCCCTATGTCAGCCCACCCTGCACCCTGTAGTCAGATCAGTCTAAAGAAGCAATCATTTTAATCATGGCAGTCTCTTGCTCAAAAACATCTAAAGGTTTCTATCTACCCCTTAAATGAAGTTAAACTCCTCAGCCTCAAACTCCACAGCATTCAAGGAGCCCCTGTCCTCTCCACTTTTCTGTTCTCTACTCTATGGCCAACTGATCTTGTTTGGCTGGTATTTTCCCACCACTACTCTAGGGTTTTCCTTTGCCTACAAAATCCTTGTTTTTTCTTCTGTTACCAAGGTCCTATATAACCTTCAAACCCTAGCTCAGATTTTACCAAAGACTCTCCCAGTCACCCCAGCTGACAGGGATATTTCCAACCTCTAGAAGGAGCTTAGAAAAGTTATTTATCTTCTCTGGGAAAGTGGAGAGGGGAATGGAATTAATATCTATCTTGTAGCACTGAAATTTTGTTAGTGTCCCTAGTTGTTTCCTTTTCCTTTTTCCCATATGGGGATTATATGTCCTAGCCTGTCACTGTGTGATCTGTACTACCTCTACTCTCTCCTTCCCCACTGATATTTGACTTTTGCCTTGTGATGGTCTTAGGCTACTAGAATTAATGGACATGTTGTAGATTTGTCTGAGCAAAAGCTTTAAGAAGCATTGCAACTTTCTACTACTTTTGTTCTTTCTTTCACCACCAGAATGGCATATCCTATAGGGCTGCAACTTCAGCCTAGGTCCCAGAATGAAAAAAACACAAGGAAGTACATATAACATGAATAAGAAATAGACATTTATTGTGTGAGTCACTGGGATTTTGAGAGTTGTCACCACAGCAAAGCCAATGATACAGGGATTAAATGAGAATGTATATATCCATATAGCCATATATCTATAATTTATATATATATATAATATATATATGTATATTTCTTACACGGCATGTTTTTGTTTGTGTGTGCATATGTGTATAAAGTTTCTTATGCAGTGCCTGACAAATAGTGGGCATTTATTAAATGATAAATGGTAGTTATTTATTTTATCATCATGTTTATTGCCAATGCTTTTGCTACATGTGATTTTATTTCCATAAAATCTGTAAATTAATTAAATAAATAATAAATAAATTAAATTTATTTCTATAAAATTCTGTAAAATAAACTATAGCAGTCAAATGAACAGTCATCCTCATTCAAATTCTTGTTTCCTTGAAGATACAGACAAGGAACTGATGACCCTGTGGTGCTCTGATACGGAATGATCACATTTGCCTGCATTAAACTGAAGTGATGAGCACTGAGAACAATTGTAAGCAGATCTGTCATTTCACTGTATATGATGTGGAGTTGGGTATTCACTCCAGATAATTTAATCACCATGGGTAGCTAATGGCTCACTACTTGAGGCCAAGAAAATGCATCCCCTGCATTTCTCCCTGCCCTTCCCTCTTGCTGAAATAGAAATCTCATGGCCACATTCAGCAAGCCATGTTCCCTCTGGCGGAACTATGGAAGGTGGAATGGCATAGGAAAGAGAAGTGGATTAGGTTTCAGAAGAGTTGGGTCCTAATCTTAACCATCTTGTGAGTCTTTAGACAAATTCATTAGCTACTCTGGACTTCAGTTTCTTTAGGTAATAGTGTCCCAGGTGGAATTGGAACTAAGCTCCGGATACCCATAGAATTTGGACACTGCTACCAAATCTATTCATATACTATTTCAGTCAAGTAAGCTAAACTGTTCTGGCACCTGGGTGCTTCAGTCGATTAAGCATCTGCCTTCAGCTCAGGTCATGATCTCAGGGTCCTGGGATCAAGCCCTACATCAGGCTCCCTGCTCAGTGGGGAGTCTGCTTCTCCTTCTCCCTCTCCTTCTGCCCTTGCCTTCTCCTCATATTGTCTCTCTCTCTCAGATAAATAAATAAAATTTATTTTTTTAAAAAAGTAAGCCAAACTATTGTGCTAAACAGACCCCAAAATATAATGGCTCAAACACAACTCCCTTCACAGCCTAGGGGGCAGTGTTCAGGTGGGTGACTTCCTCTCCTTGAGGTTCAGGAACCCAGGCTCCTTTCATCTTGCGGCTCTGCCACTCCTTAGAGCCTTCTTGTTGTTTGCTTGGTTGAGGCTGGGTCGTCTCATACTGGGTCGAGTTGGCAGGAGGAGAAGGAGCAAATGCGGGAAGCACATTGGCTCTCTTAGAGGCTGGACATGGCATCTAATCCCGTTTCACTGTTAGAATTTAATCACATGGCCATCCCAGCTGCAAACGACCCCAACAAATGTGGAAGAACTGTGTACCCAAGAAGAGAAAAGATTTGGGTAGAAGGTAACAGTCTCTACCATACACACCTTGATTTACAGAGAGGGTAAAAAAGACCCCTCGGAAAAGAACCTGAACTTTTCTATCATAAGATTCTCACATATGTGACTATGTCAGCAGATCTTTTTTTTTTTTTTCTAATGGTTTTATTTATTTGAGAGAGAGAGCGCATGTGAGAGAGCACGAGCAGGGGAAGGAGCAGAGGGAGAGACAGAAGCAGACTCCTTGCTGAGCAAGGAGCCTGATGCAGGACTCAATCCCAAGACCCTGGGATCATGACCTGAGCTGAAGGCAGATACTCAACTGACTGAGCCACCCAGGCGCCCCAATGCCAGTGGAGCTTGAGGTGGGTACTGGATAACGGAGAACGATGATAGCCAAATTTCAAATTAAGTTCCGGAGAGAGGAGGCATCATTGTATACCTTTTTATTGAGGGTTTTTGTTTGTTTGTTTGTTTGTTTTTAAAGATTTTATTTATTTACTTGACAGACAGAGATCACAAGTAGGCAGAGAGGCAGGCAGATAGAGAGGGAAGCAGGCTCCCTGCTGAGCAGAGAGCCCGACGCGGAGCTAGATCCCAGGACCCTGGGATCATGACCTGATCTGAAGGCAGAGGCTTTAGCCAACTGAGCCATCCAGGCGCCTCTTATCAGAGGGTTTTTAACCTTTTTCATTCCAGATCTCCCCAGGGAGCCAGGCAGGCTGCTGTTGGGCCGGATCGTAACTCATCTTCTTCCTCTGATCAGTCCCGCTTCCTTTCCCTACTTCCTCAGGTGTTGACTGCATGTCCTAGAACACATTTGTATCCTAAACTCGGGTTCTTGGATAACTCAACTAGGACAACTGGCATCAGGAATGGTCAAAGAAAGCAGATGAGAAGATGCAGTTTGGGAGCTGGAAAGTCCCCTATGCTGCTGTCACAGGAGGGTCCATCACTGATTGGGGGGTGGAGCAGCGATAGCTCCTGGCATGAGGTGGGTCCAGTTGTTAAGACTGTAAATTG